CGGAAGGATTGGAGGGTGGTGTGGGTACGAAGCTCCATGGGGAGTTCGTTCCAAAGGGGCGGAGCAGCCACCGAGAAGGTCCTCCTCCGGGTAGGTGCCAGTTTGCACTGGCTAGACGATGGAATTCGGAGGAGGCCTAATCGATGCGATCGAATCGGTCTGGTGGAGGTAATTGGCAGTAGGCGGTCTCTCAAGTACCCAGGCCCACTACCATGAAGGGCTTTATAGGTGATAAGTAGCACCTTGAAGCGCACCCGGAGATCAACAGGTAGCCAGCGCATTTATTTGCAGCCATTTCTTTGCTTTGTTTATATGCTTCTGAACTTTGCCCCTGTTCCTTTCCTCTCCTCAGTCTGTGTCATAAACCATGTTACCCAATAGATACACCCATCTCAAACCAGCTACTGTAATCTAAGATCCGGCTCTGCCGACATTATGCATGGAATGTCAACACGGAGAGTTGACTTTGGATTTAGTAGGACTTGAGTAAAGTAGAAGAAATAAAGTAGAAGAGGGTACCGCTGGATGCGTGAGCCTGGAGTAACACTGCTCTAACAGCAACATCCAACACATCTGCTTCCATCACAAATGGATGGTGAGGTTCACAATGTTTCAAGATGGGCTCCTTCATGAATGCCTGCTTCAAGGCCTGGAAAGCCTGCTGCTCGGGGGTACTCCAGTGGAACGGGGCATTTTTCTGAAGGAGCTGAGTGAGGGGTGTGGTCAGGGAAGCGAAGCTGGGGATAAAGGTCCAATAACAGTTGACGAACCCAAGGAGTTGCTGAATGGATTTCACTCGCCAAGGAGGTTGTGCAAAGACTCAACCTTGCTCAGCTCCATTATGCTCTTAGGAGAGATGTGATGCCCCAGGAACTCAATGGTGGACTGAAAGAATTGGCATTTTTCCAGTTATGCATACAAGTGGTTCTCCTGGAGCCGTTGCAGGATCAGGCAGAGGTGAGGTGCTGCAGTTGGCACTCTCAGGAGGAAGAGTAAATCAAAACATTGTCCAAATAAATAACGACAAACTGATCCAAGATGTCATTATTGTGGTCACCAGTGGCCTGTGGAGCTAGCAGCAGAGTCAGATAGCAAGGAGATTGGGGAGGAACATGGGCCAGTCTTGGAGTCTGGGGAAGGTTTGGACAAGGGCTCTGCATCAGAAACAGAGAGGGGGGACAGAGCCATCTAGGAGTTACGTGCTGTCTCCATAGCCTCCAGAGTCGGACATCAGCGAGGCAGTGGAACAGACTCCCCCTGTTCCCAGTGCACGCTTGCGCAGAGCTGCCAAAAGGCAAGAACAGTTAAGACAGAAGGGATCACTTGGGAGTAAGGCTGCCCCTCTTATAGGACATAAAGGAAGAGCAAAGGCATGTGAGCCTTTGTAGGAAGCAAATTCGTTCATGCTGGTCAGTTTACCTTCTGAAGCTCCATTTTGACTCTTTGATCTCTGTGGCCTTGTCAAGCTAATTGCCCATTAAATCTTTGGCAGTGTTTCAAGGAAGACAAAGGTGGGTGCTTATCAGCCTTATCCCAAAAGACTTTGGCAGCCTACTGTAGGACTCTTTACAACTATTTGGGATTCATTATGCACTGTGAATGAACATAATTCACAGCCTTTGAAATAAAAAGATGGTTTTTGGAACTAGCTGTGTGGTTTTTATTGTATCAGGAAGCCTAGGTCAGAACAGCCTCCTGTCTTGCTCCAAGGAGGCACCAGACCAGGAAATGCCAACAATGTCTGGGATTGGAAGAAGAACATCTCCTTTAGAATGTTGTGGCAAAGGAAACACACACACCAGTGGTGGGATTAGGCCAGTTCGCACCTATTCGGGAGAACCGGTTCTTAACTTTCTAAGAGGTTCGGAGAACCGGTTGTTGGAAGAAATCTTCTTTTGGTTTTTTTCTGCTTTACAGGGTTAATCCTGTAAGGAAGGCATGAAGGAAACATTCTAGTGTTGTTTCTAGCTTAATCTTTATGGCCCTGCTTACAGAATCTGCCTCTCTGGTTAACCCTTATTACATTGTAACAGCAAAGGCCCACCTAAGTAATGTTGAGTTGGCCACACCCACATGGTCAAATGACCACTAAGCCCCACCTATCCACCTGATCATTAAGACAGAGAGCCGGTTGTTAAATTATTTGAATCCCACCACTGACACACACACAAACACACAGAATTCCAAACTTGAATACTTTTATCTGCATCTGAGCTTATAAACTGCCAATCAGGCTTGGGCTTGGGGAGAAGGCCTTCTCCTTCCTCTATGGGTAAAACTCTCCAAACTTGGTGTGTGTGTGTGTCTGTTGTGTTGTGGTGTGTTTTTTGTGGGGCACTGAATTGTCCCCACGTTGAGTTATTCAGTGCAACTTCTTCTATCCTTACCTAGTCATCCTGAGTCAGCCATGGCCAGTGAGTGGCATCAAAGCAGCAATGTCCACCCAGTTACACCCAGTCAGCTATACCCACCTAGTTGTAGTATCCAGCTACTGGCTCTTTGAGGAAAATCATAATGCTGATCTAGCCCTAAATGAAATTGAGTTTGACACCCCTGCTCTACACCATAAAGTGGGTGGGAGGTTAGCAGCTTAAAACTGGAAAGAAGGAAGGGGAAGTTGTCTTCTTACATTTCATTTCTTACATTACATTTATTCATTCATATTCTATGTTAATGCAAAATTCAAGCTTTTCCCCTTTAAACAAGAGGGATACAGTAAGAATACATTAGAATTAACCAAGACAGATGTCATAAAAAAATCTGGTAATCATATCACTCTAATTGTATGAAAGAAAACAGAATAACATCTTTTTCATATCTGCTAATGACTTATAAAAGTGAATAATCTTTAAAAAGGTGAAATAATGGGCATCTGCTTATGTTAACAAATTATTCTTACCTGTACAAGAGTAGTCATCAATTTTGATGTAACCTGTTTTGCAGACACACATAAATGATCCTGGTGTGTTGATACACATAGTATTTTCCTGACAGTAATGCCTCCCTTCAGCACATTCATCAATATCTGTGAATAAAACAACAAGGACAGATGAACAAACACTGCTGAATATCCTGCTGTTAACACAGATTGGAATAATGTCTCCAATTAGAGCAGTTGCCCTTGTCTTATTGCTTAGGCGGAGTGTTGACAACCTCTTTCCTTCAGGGCTGTTCCGCTGTTGGGGCGGTGGCAATGGCGATGGCTGGAGCCTTAGTGCGGGAGCAAAGAACCCCTGTACTTGCCTTTGCATCGCAACAGGATTCTGCCTTTGTTGTGATACATTTGCTGTTGCCAGCAGCAAAGAGGGCTGGGAGAGAACAGCAGGGGCAGATCTTATAGGTGGAGGCCATCCCCCAAGCCTGGCCTTTCTCCTCCCTCGTCAGTGGAGCCAAGAGAAAGAAGGGGGCAGCAGAATGGATTTTTGCTAAAGAGACAGATCAAAACAATACAATAATGATTCTAAACACACTAGAGTACTATGAGATACATCCTGGAAAAAATGGAGTTGATGTTTTTATGAAAACTTTTTATTTTCCATTTTCATAACATATAATCACATGTATACTATTACATAGCCAATATCATGTTGTGTTATTAAAATATTTACATCAATTCATCTTACCATCAGCTCCCTAAAAAAAAAACCAATTATTGGCTCTTCTGCTCTCCATACACCATATTTGTGCCTTATCCAACACTTTCTTCTCCCTCTC